CTGCTGTGGCCGCCGCGTCTTCCCAGTCACCGACGGATGCCGCGCTCCCACACCGGGACATCGGATAGACCGCGTACGCATGCGGCACCGGCCGCCGGACCGTTACCCTGAATTCTGAAAGCAGACCGGCACACGTGCGCTCGACGTCATTCATGAGCTCGATCACCCGATTGTCGTCTGCACGATCGTGTGAGCACCTGAGTACCGGCGGCTGATTGTCGATATCGTTACCGCCGTCACCGCCATCACCACTGTCATCGTCGTTGCCATTGTTTTCATTGACAGCTACGTCGTCCCCGTCATCGTGAGCTTCAAGCATAGCAGACACCGCGTCGGCCACGTCGTCAGCTGTCATCACTACGTTGCTGAAGCACACCCGCCGGGCGCGGACGCCGGATAACAACCGGCGCAGACCATCAACCGGTAAGTTGCCGTAATTTACATCCCGGCAGTAACCCACAYGCAACACTTCCAATGCCGATGACGTCGTCCGGCGGCCACGGTACGCTGGTTTGCTACTGTCGCTACGTTCGGTGTCGTCGTCATTGTCATCTCCGTCGCAATATTCACCACTGTCTTCACCGCTRTCTACACCAGCATCTTCACCGCTGTCTTCGCCACTGTCTTCACCGACGTCTTCGCCACTGTCTTCACCATCGTCTTCGCCGCTGTTGTCGCGCCGCCGAAGTTGTCGGGGCACGTCCCGGTCAAAGTCATATACGTCCACCAGGTAAAGCGCCGTAACGTTCCGCACGTCAAACGTTCGCGTTACTGTGGCCGCAGTATCATGGCCACCACGCACGAGCAGCGCACCTTCCGAAACGTACATGTGGTGCTGTGCAACTCGGTACAACCGGTCGGTAGTGGCCGACGCCTGCAAAAGATCGTCTGTGGACTGCTTTCGGAATATGAACCGGATCATTTCCGGTGGCAGACGGTCGAACACACATTTTGGACACGATCTGTGGACAAATAACCGATAACTGCGTATTAATATATTATTATACAACGGTAGTTCTTATAAAATTATCTACTAATCATGTATTCCAGTGGTTCACATACTGTCGTACCATTACTGGTATGTATAAAGTTATAAGGTGGTACGAGATAATCCGTATGGAGGTAATATAGATAAATTAATTTTTACTTATTTTTGTAATATTATTTTACATTTTGCGTAAATTAGTACCAAATACACTGAAATACGTATGTAAATATATGCATTTTATAGATTATTACTTGTGAAAAGGTACCTGTTATATTTTGAAATAGTCATATTTTTAGAGATATTGTTAGTACCTACCTATATGACCAAAATTTTAAAGCCGACAAACACATGTATACATGAGCAACCATCGTAAGTTTGTCTAAGTTGATATAATATATCGGTTTATATATCTTCACATACAATTTTACTCCTATTTTAGACTTTTAATTTGTTCAGTAAATGCGAATGTTCATAATATTTTTCATTTGGAACATAGTTTACCAAAAAAAACACCAAGTGTGTTTATATGGCTTTCATTGACCTTTATTTGTTGTTCAATCATTATGAAACGCTATTTAAAACTTATAAAATCACAGCTTTAAACATCTCAATAACTATTGTATGAAGAAAAAATAGCAATTTATTATTTCCATATTATAAAATAAACCCGATACTGTCAATAACAGTTTTTTACGCAAAACGTTGTCAAAACGTTTCACAAATCTCTTTGTAATATGACATTTAAGATTGGATTTTAACCGTTAAGAGTTTTAAACTTTTTACATTTCAACTTTAAAGAATGAAAGAGACAATTTTTCACTCAATTTGGTACCGATAAACTTTCAGTGACTACAATAAACTTTTAGTAATTCTCAGTATTTCTCTTCGGATTTTATAAGTTCAAAAATACGTAAAAAGAAAAACAATAAGTCATCATATCCGTAGACAGTGACGAACGGCTTAAGTASAAATATTCCTTGTACTTACACTAGCTGATGAAAAATATGGCAAAGTTCATTTGAATTCACATTGTATCAACTGTTATACTTGTGATTTTTAACTCCTGAGGCACCTCTAACTATCATCATATYAGTGCCTTACTTAACCTTTAAACGACCCTAGCTTTTTAGAATGAATTTTAATGTTCACCTAAATTGTACATTATTAAGTTTTATTTTTATATTAAAAATTATCATTAAAAGAACCGTTTGATTTCGCGTATTATAACTATATGATCATGATTGTACTCTAAAGTTATTATCAAGTCTACGAGTATTTTGATGTGCCAGAGTGTAAAAAAGCCCCTAAAAGATATTATGTCGATGTTCATTCAACAACTCGTGAAAACTATGGGTCGAGCCTTATATTCGATTTCTAGCGTGGCGGAATCTCAAAAGTTTTTTAGAAAGGATACAAATGATGCTCTTTTTTAACTCTTCAACGTTTTCCCGTTACGCGATGCCAGAAAGGATATGTTATAAGGACTTCACTTTTCTAGTGGATATACCCGTATTATATTTATTTTTTACAAGTATGTGGACACTGCAGATTCATGATTATTTAATTTTTTTTTTTTTAATTTTAATTTTAATTTCAGGCTCTCTCCGTCTATTTTATCGTTTCAYCCACCACTTGAAGTAATACTTTTATCTCTCCTTTCATCTCTCCTACTCTATTAATAATGACCTGTGGGGTCTCTCTTGTAGCAGGGGATGACTGTAGATTAAATAAAAATCGATTTCGCTTAATAATGATACATAAAACAGGATTTTTTTTATTTTTATTTCAAGAAAAAATCTTATACTATGTTCTAGACAGTAAAAAATCTAACTAATAATTAACAATGCTTACACGTTGAGRAGAATAAAATACAATAACATTATATGATCAGTCATATTAGATGTCTACACAGTAACAATGTATATTAAACTTATCAGATATTCCCGTTAATGATTTATTGAAGGTTAGTGTAACAATTATTATTATTTCATCAAAGTCGATAACATTGGTTCACAGTTCTACATATGATTTATTGTAGTATTCTCATATATACTCTATATACTCATAAATAATGTACGTGGCAATAACGCACAATTAATGTTATAAAGCAATCTAAACGGTATTCGAAAAACAAATAATTTATCAGCCAAATTTCGGCGCCAATCAGATATCATCGTCGCCCACATATTGTCCGACCACAGAGTTTCGGCATAAACATGTTAACACAAACACRCATGCACACATAACTTTACAACMGTCCTTTAAACTTGACATTTATCATTATAAAATAACGTCGATCAAAACAAAACCCAAAATAAAGATAAAACCTACATTAAAAACCGTAATATTTGCGAATTTAATATTCGATCGAAAGAATACCTAAAAATAAAAAATATATATACAATATAGGTAATGCATCAGATAATTATATTAAACAGATATTTTTGCAATTTGTTTAGGTTTCAAGTGAATTAAAATGCATCTACATAATAAGCTTTTACCTGTAATGAGAAAAAAATGAGTCGATTAAGATAATATTATGTTATACTCACGCTTCTGTATCGACCATTTCTTGTGTTGTAATCTGAAGCTCGCCACTGACCGACATGTGCTTAAGTTGAAGACGACCAACTATTATAGTTAACTCTTGGACTACAAACTACAAACTTTTAAGGCGAAGTGTATAATACAGTTGCATATGTATTTTTAAATACAACTGAACACACGGAATAGAAAAATACGAACTTTGCGACGTTAAACCGTACTCAAAATCTGATCGAACGGAAACGTTAATCACGGAGACCACTCTGAAATTGAAAATGAAACTGAAATAAACGAACTGAGAGAGAAAAATCGAATACTGGTTGGTTAGGTAGTAGAAGCTTGAACAGCAGACAGGACACGGACTGAATTTCGAGGTCGATCTACAATAATAACATGGTGAACACACAACCAAGGTGTGCGCATTGAGTGACCGGTCTGTTTTCTCGTCTTATATATACGCCTTGCCCATCCACCACCGCTACTGCTATCACTTGCTTTTACGTGTTATCTGAGTGAAATAGTTCAGTGAAAACAATGTCATAATAATAATCGTAGTTAATAATAATGATAATAATAATAATTAATTATTAGTATTATAAATACATACAGATTGATAGTGTAGTGGACTTGTCGATGGGATCAAAAATCGTATGGAAGGGCGCCGGCGACAGACGTTGAACGAGGAATCCAATTTCAGATGCAGGTTAATTCAACACCTATAATATAAGGTTTGGAACGTGAAAATGGGATATTCTTGTTCATTTCTGCGGGATGTGGATATTATAATTTATCAAAAGATTATTTTTATTTGATACACTGATAACGATGTATTTTTTTTTTTGATATTAACGTTACGAAATTGATTTTATCGTAAGCTGCTGTTAGGGGCGGAACTATTATAATATTATGGTATACAGGTGATGTTATTGGGTGTATAGAAAAAAAAAAAGTACATCATGATATTATACAAGTGCTATGACTCAAATTTTAGTTAGGTTTTCTGTCAMAAACGGTTGGTATATGATTTATGTTTTTTGTCACAGCATTTTCTTAACTATTTTAACACTATATAAACTTACATATTATAGACCGTAAGTTACTGTTCAAATTTAGATAGGCACTATCGCTATATTTTTATAGACTTACCATTTACATTTATGGAGTACTCGCATTCGTATTCGTACACTTTTCTACGAATGAAACTATACATTAGAATGCGGATGGATTCAATATTAACATAAAACCATTCGCCYGTCAAAGATCAAATAATCCTTTAAAAATATAAAAATTTTACTCAATGTATAAACATATATTTTACTTTTAAATTATTTATTTTGCAATTTCATATTCTCAAATCCATATAATTTCGATATATTATACAAATATAGAAACATACATTAAATCTTACCCATATACATCATTAAACTAAATTAAATACTATCGCAATAAAATGCTATATAACGCAWAACATGAAACACAAAGAATAAAATATTATAATATATTATATGTTTAGTAAATATATTTATATGTGGTTATCATAATACGAAGAACAATATTTTGGAATAATGCAAACTATAAAAATATTAAAAATGTCAAGTTATTATCGAATAAGAAAACAAAGAGCAGTTTTAATTAAATAATAAAACAACTAAAAAAACAWAACATTATTTACAGCCTAATTGTTGAGTACCAAATTCTAAAAACATTTATTTTGTGAATTCATCTAAGTGACTGAAATTTTAATTGAAAGTTTTATGAACGATGCATAGACTGTAGCAAGAATCATAGTCGCGTAATGACCATTACAAATAAAAATAATAATAATCTATAGTGGGTATAGAATATATAAAACGTAAATAACATTATATTAATTTGTATATTAGTATATTA